TTCCACTGTCGCCAAAGTGCTTGCTTGATTGTTGGGTTTTTCTCTGTATGTATTATTGTAGGGTCTACCTTACAATGCAAAGCGCCTTGAGGCGACTGTTGTTGTGTTTTGGCGCTATATGAATAAAATTGAATTGAATTGAATACGCTGTCTGACAGCTTGGATAGGCTCCAGCCCCTCGTGGACCCTGAAATAGATACGCGGAAAAGAATGGCTGGATGGAATATGCTGTCTGCTATAAAATAGTCTACGAAAAAACTAAGACATTTAAAATAGTAGAAACGCTTCACATTAAAAATAGAAGATCTAAAGCAAACAAAAGTAAAACTGTACAAACGTGTTTGGAATACAGTTAGGAATAAAAGCAAAGGAAGCAAACAAAGTGAACCTAAATATTCTGCATTGTGACAAAATCAAGTCTATAATGCAGTGAGATTCCCAAACACTGTTTAACTTTCAAATAGTTATTCCGAAATTTTCAGTGTCCTGTGCGAAAACAGCACATATACACCCACGAGGAGCACCCCCATAGCAAAAATTACAGCTGTTGTATCCCTTCTTTCTTCAAGTTATATTGTTGAAGACCCTTGTATTGTGTGTAATTGCTCTCACCTGCTAAAAATGATTAAAATTAAAAATACATGGCAATAATATTTACATGACCATGAATTGTTCCATTCACCTGAGTATCATGTGAAGCTCATCAAATGCTTAAACTCACTGCATCAAATACAGAAAGAAGGTATAAATAATGTGAAATCAAGATTCAGTGCAGTGCACAAGATTTTAAATGTAGGCAGAGGGTTGTCAGAAGGCTTGTTCGCCGCAGTGTACGTCTGCAGGTCTTTAAGTGGGGTCTGTTTCTGTTGAAATGACAACAGATTCTTCATCAGAGCTCGTGTTATGTCTACACTTTACCACAGTGTAATCAGCATGCTGCTCTTCTCTTGGCTGAAGTGGCTCTATGGTGGAAAAAAGAGGATCTGTGTGGTTTTTAAAGAAGTGGACTTTGCTGTAGAGGACTTCATCCTCCACCTGTGGCTGAGCTAAGACGTCTTCACACACAGGATCAGGATTTAGCTGAGAACAAAGAGCGATACATCATAATTCACTTAAAGATTTGACTCCTTTGACTCTGTAAGACAGATCATTCAGTATGAAAATGTGTTTTCCAACTCCACAGTAATCTTTACCTCCACTATGTTGTTTGATGTTTCGTTTGTGGAAGACTGACTCGTAGTCCTCTTTTTTCTGATTATTGAAAGTAATAAACAGAAAAAATAAGTGAGTTCATGCTAGAGATAAAAATGTTGTCACTTTGAATCAAACACACTGTTGCTTACCTAATCA